AGGTTCTCGCCAGTTGGTACTTGGCGTTCTATTGGTGACTAGGACGTGGTGTTTTGTTGTTTGTTTTTGTGATTCCTGACGGTTGGAATAATTTCCTCAGGTTGAATGGTTCTGGCGGTGAAGCGCCTTTGGTTCTCTGTTGAGAGAGTCCTAACCGTCCTGAGGTGGACGAAACTGATTTAGTTAAGTCGGAAATTAGGTACTCTGAGAGATGAAGGCAGGGCACCGAGGTCGCGGGGCTTTTGAGTAGAGAAGTAATCAGATGACAGTAGTTATAAGATTTGGTTCTTACAATGGAATTCTCTCTACAAGCATTCGGCTCAGTTTTTGTTTTACAGTTTTTGAGCTGTAAGTTTCCTGTTTTGTTTGTTTTTCTTTACAGAATCTATTCCTTCCTTTTCCTGCTTTATCGAAGACGTCGAAAGGTGGCGACGTTGTGTCACTCCGTGCCGTTTCATCACGTTTAACTTTATTGTATTAGGGAAGACCGCCTCGCTCACGGTTTTCGATGCGTGATTTCCCGTGGGCCGTTGGGCGAATGCCGAGGCGGGGACTTGGGGTGCCTAACCCGAGGCGGAGGGTCCACGCGTATTAACCCCCCCCCCCTTGTCCAAAGATCGAAGTTTATAGTAAGGAATTGTTGAAGCCCCGAAGATGGAAGATACTCGAGAAGAGTCTTTTCGGCCGGTTAGCTTGAGATCCTGTGACAGCAGTCCAGGAGAGTGAGCGAGAAGACCGGATCTCCTTTGATCGTTGAGACGACGATCTAGAAGAGGAGGGGGGTAATGTTACGCGGCGGACACCGAGTGCGTGTCGCGGGAGCCGCGTGAACGTCGCGCGCTCGGCGCGATTGTTCGTTGCCGAGCGATGGGTTTGTTTAGAGAGATTCTGAGCTGAGAGAGCTGTCACGGCGTGCCACGACGAGATTTATATTGCGCGTTCTTTCTGTATTTCTTTGTGAATAAAGTGCTTTGTTAAGAAGCCGCGTGTTCTCCTTTCGCCGTAAGCGCGTGCGCGATTTCCGGAGTCTGGCAAAAGCGCTGTTTCGCCGTCGCGAATGTAACAATATATATATATATTTTTTTTTTTTAAAAAGATGATTATGTATAAGACAGTTTTTCCAGTATCGTTTTCTGTCAATAAACTAATAAATTTACTTGTAACGCATACGTTTTAAATCTATCAAACGCAGATATGTGACGACAGAT